TCTTGAGCCACACGCCTTCATCACCGATTGCATGTAGGCTCAATATTTCCAAGAATTAAAAGATTTTAACACAAAAACCATCATCTTTGAATAACTTCCAGAAAACAAAATAATCCGAATAGAGTTGCATGCAAGACCTATCATCCGAAAATGTGATCAGACCTCACATGCAAGGAATTTTTCCTTCTTTCTTGGAGATTTTAAAGAACTTGGGTCACAGATTATCATCCCCAACGAAGTCACAGGTGGGTCTTTGATGAATAATCTCTCCTCTTTAAATCCCGTAAATAGCCAAGAAAAGCCGAGTAGGGAGAAAGATAAAGATTTTCAGATTTTTTTTAAGAAAATAGAACAGCTTTAAAACATACATTTTCTTGATAAAAAGACACGAGCAGGTCATTAAGAACAGCAAAAGTCCTTGAGTTTTGCTTGAAGATGGAATCGGTTGGAAAGAAAGTGTTGAAAATGGCTGGAAATTTGGAAAGTGAAGGACTTTCAAAAGGGAAGGGGGTATTTTTATGTGGATTCAATGAAAAGAATGGGCTGACCTCTAAAGGCCCAAGCCCAAAAGACTTTTAATTACAAAGTAAAAGACCCCCAAAAAATACAATAAAACATTTTTGACAAAATAAATTTAAAACACCATTCTTTAAATTAATTGGCAAATAAATATAAAATGGGACTTAAAATATCGACTTTATTTTACGTGAAATACTTCAAAACTAATTGGCATTGCATAAACTAGCTTTGTTAGCTACCCGTCGAGACATGATCTAACAAACTAATCTTGGGAAATAAACAGGATGATCTCTAATCATCGAAGCTAAAACCTAGAAGGACTTAGTTCTAAATAAAGATCTTGAAATAAGGTACTAACCTGAAGTCCYAAAGTGACGAATTGTCACAACAGTTGAGAGTCCTCGTGACAGCAGCTTTTTTGTGTCCTAAAACAGAACCTCTTTGCTTTAATTCTTAAGATGAACGCCCCAAAAATAGCAGTCTACGTGCCGAACAACAGCTAGCTGCTGTACTCCGACAGAGACGCCAAAAAGGCAGCTTGCTGTTGCATTTTTCCGACTGCCGTGCGAACCAACAACAGTCTACTGCCTCCCCCCCCCCCCGATGCCCGCGCCAAATAGCAGCTACGGCTGCTGCGCTTTTGATCCGATGCACACACCAAACAGCAGGTAAGGCTGCTGTTTTTCTCCGACTGTCACAGCAGCAAAATGCGGGGCATCGAGGCTGTTTTCCCGACTGTTACAGTAGCCAAAACACAAGCCAAAGGGGCTGTTTTCTCGACTGTTTCCAGCAGCAAAAACGCAGGCCAAAGGGGTTGTTTTCTGGACTGTTTCCAGCAGCAAAAACGCAGGCCAAAGGGGCTGTTTTCTCGACTGTTTCCAGTAGCAAAAACGCAAGCCAAAAGGGCTGTTTTCTCGACTGTTACAGCAACAACTTTGCTTTCGCCTCAACCGAACGAGTTGAACAGTAGCTAGAGCTGCTACGGTTCTGTCTACTACTTTCGCCCAACAGCAGCTTGTTTTTTCTCACTTCATTCTTCTCTTTTCTCTCTTCTTCCTCCTTCTTTCTTGACTTCTGTTTTTTTTCTCTTCAATCAAGGAAATCTGAGGTTAAGGACAGGTATGGGAGGGAAGGAACCCTTCCCAAGGGAAAGAAGGTCCATTGGATAAGACCCAAAGTTAGCCACAACCCCCCCCCTTTTTAATATTTTTTTTACATAAAGAAGACTAGATGAAAAAAGTTATAAACTCCAAAGATGAGTCTATAAATATTCATATATATAAAAAAAAAAACTCAGATGTTACAATTCTCCCCACCCTGGACTCAATTTCGTCCTCGAATTTTTTTTTCATGCGAAAAGGTGAGGGTAACGCCTCTTCAGATCCTCTTCTGCTTCCCAAGTCACGTTTGACCCTCGGTGATGCTTCCATTGTACTTTGACCAAGACAATTTCTTTGTGCCTCAACACCTTGGTCTTTCTTTCCAAGATGGCCTCTGGTTCTTCAACACACCGGTTGTTCTCATCCACACGAATTTCCGAAAGTGGAATAACACTTTCTTCTTCCGCTAAGCACTTACGAAGGTGGCATACGTGAAATGTGTTATGGATTCCGGCCATTTCTGGTTGTAGTTCTAATTCTTAAGCTTCAAGACTTTAAACGGTCCAAGGAAACGGGGACTTAGCTTCCCACGCTTTCCAAAACGGATAATACCCTTCCAAGGGGACACCTTTAGCATTACACGGTCACCCAATTGGAACTTCATAGGTCGGCTCCTCTTGTCTGCGTGACTCTTTTGTCGATCCTGTGCTGCCTTTAAGCGCTCTCGAATACACTTCACTTTGTCGGCCGTTTCTTGCACGATTTCAGGGCCGGCAAAATTGTTTTTCACCCGCCTCAAGCCAACACACAGGAGTCCTACATTTTCGCCCATACAATGCTTCGAAAGGCGCCATCCCGATACTAGAATGATAACTATTGTTGTAGGAGAACTCCACAAGGGGTAGGTGAGAATCCCAATTTCCGCCAAAATCGATAACACACGATCTAAGCATGTCTTCAAGGGTTTGAATGGTCCGCTCAATCTAACCATCGGTTTGAGCATGGTATGCCATATTTAACTTTACTCTCGTACCCAATTCTTTTTATAAGCCGCCCAAGAAATAGGAGGTGAATCGGCTATCTCGATCTGACACTATTGATAATGGTAAACCGTGCCTCGAGACTACTTCATCGATGTATAACTTGGCAAGCTTCTCTATTGGCAACGATTCACGCATTGCCAGGAAATGAGCGCTCTTTATCAGTCGGTCCACCACTACCCATATCGTATCATGGCCTCTTAAGGTCTTCGGCAGTTTAGTCACGAAATCCATCGTAATATGCTCCCACTTCCACTCGGGGATTTCCAAGGACTGAAGGCTACCATACGGTCGTTGGTGTTCCGCTTTCAACTGCAAACAAATCACGCACCTTTCTACATAACGAGCCACATCCAGTTTTATGACAGGCCACCAATATGTCAATTTCAAATCCCGATACATCTTGGTGCTACCCGGATGAATGGAGTATTTAGACTTGTGTGTGTCTTCTAGTAATAGTTCACGATTGCCTCCAATCTTGGGTACCCATATGCGCCCTTGAAATAACTTCAAGCCACGGCCATCCTCCGCCAGTAGAAGACGTTGTTTTAACATTACCTCACTCTTGAGGTTTGCTTCTTGGAGTGCTTCTGATTGTGCCACCTTGATTTGACCGATCATAATGGACACTATATCGATCATGGTAAGCACAACTTTCGTTCCACCATCGTACTCCTTTCGGCTCAAAGCATCCGCCACTACGTTTGCCTTACCCGGATGGTATAGTAATTCACATTCGTAGTCTTTGAGCAGTTCAAGCCAACGCCGTTGCCTCATGTTTAGATCCTTCTGGTCGAAGATGTACCTCAAACTCTTGTGATCGGTGAAAAGTTTGCACTTGGTACCATAAAGGTAATGTCGCCAAAGTTTTAAGGCCAACACCATAGCCGCTAGTTCCAAATCATGAGTGGGGTACTTTTTTTCGTGATCTTTGAGTTGTCTTGACGCGTAGGCAATCACCTTCCCCCTTTGCATCAAGACGCAACCCAAACCCATTTTTGACGCGTCGCTAAAGACTACGAAGTCTTCGGATCCCTTCGATAGCGAGAGAATTGGGGCTTCACACAATTTCTTTTGGAGGGTTCTGAAAGCATGCTCTTGTTTCTCGGTCCAGATAAAGTTCGCATTCTTCCTTGTCAACGCCGTTAAGGAAGAAGCGACCTTGGAGAAGTCTTGGATAAATCTTCTATAATAGCCCGCCAGGCCTAAGAAACTCCGGATTTCTGTAGGGCTCTTTGGTGGTTCCCAGTTCATCATTGCCTCGATCTTGGATGGGTCTACCTTCACCCCATCTCGAGTGACTACGTGACCTAAGAATTGCACCTCTTCCAGCCAAAAGTCGCACTTAGAGAATTTTGCATACAACTTCTCCTTCCTTAACATTTCGAGGACCTCCCGGAGATGTTGCTCATGGTCTGATTCGTTCTTGGAATAAATGAGAATGTCGTCGATGAATACTATCACTGACTTGTCGAGGAAAGGTCGGCACACTCGGTTCATCAAGTCCATGAATACCGCCGGCGCGTTCGTCAAACCGAAGGGCATAACCAGGAATTCATAGTGCCCATAACGCGTTCTAAAGGCTGTCTTTGCTACATCATCTTCTTTCACACGTACCTGGTGATATCCCGAACGAAGGTCGATCTTTGAGAAGCAACTAGCTCCCTGAAGTTGGTCGAAAAGGTCGTCGATCCTGGGAAGAGGATACTTGTTCTTTACGGTTGCTTTATTGAGTTCTCGATAGTCAATGCACATTCTCATGGTGTCATCTTTCTTCTTTACAAATAAGACTGGAGCTCCCCATGGCGACGAGCTCGGTCTAACAAATCCCTTCTCTAGAAGGTCTTGCAGTTGAGACATCAACTCTTGCATCTCGGATGGTGCTAAATGGTAAGGGGCTCTAGCAATAGGGGCGGTTCCCGGAATAAGATCGATTCGGAACTCCACCTGTCTATCAGGTGGTAAGCCAGGTAAGTCTTCAGGGAATATGTCGAGAAATTCATTAACCACATTTACATCCTCAATTCCCCTTTTTTCTAGTTTAGTATCCAGTACGTAAGCAATGAACGAGGAACATCCTTTAGCTAGACACTTACGTGTCTTTGCTGTGGACAAGAGTACTACATTTCCTTTCCTTCCTTCTCCGTAAATTAGCACARCATCCCCATCCRGTAAAGGGATTCGGATCAKCTTTTTAGAGCATAAGATTTCCGCTTGGTTCTCTACCAACCARTCCATCCCAATAATGACATCGRATCCGCCTATAGCCATGGGTATGAGGTTCACCCGAAATTCCWTTCCTTCAATYCCCAAAACACAACCTTTAACAATTTYGCGCACCAAAAYTTGACTACCATTTGCTATCTCTATGATTAACGCATCCTCTAGTGWACTAGGTGGCGTATGCAAGTGTTGATAGAATGCAGTGGACAYAAAGGAACATGAAGCACCCGAGTCAAAAAGTACATGAGCAGGTAYGGAGTTAACAAGGAAYGTACCCGACACTACATCYGTCGACGCCTTAGCTTCTTCTCTCRACATCTGAAAGGCTCGACCGGTTGCTTTCGGGGCGCCCWCWTTTCTTCCTTGACTCCCACCTGTTTTCAACTTTTGGCAATCATTCTTGAAATGGCCYGGTTCCCCGCATTCAAAAYATATGGGTCCCTTGATTGAACRCTCGTTTYGCGTRTGGCMTGTCTTCCCACACTTAAAGCATTTGGTGGGGGTAGCRTTGGTGTTACACGGGCCGTGATRTTTGCTGYGACACCTGGGACACCATCTTGTCTCTTGTTTGGGATKGGTTCCGCGATTGTTGTTGCCAAAGTGGTTTGGMCTTTTRGATGGTGCATAGGGCCCTTCCCATTTYCTCTTCTCACCACTCGACATCCTTTCTTCCTTTCCCTTAACRTAAGWTGATTCCAAGACCTTGGCTTCTTCGATTGCTTCCCTRAGRGTGGAAGCTCTTGAGTTCCTAACCATTACCATCATGTCTGCAGGTAGCCCTTTAAGGTAGGCTTTCATCTTATCTTTCTCCGTTGGGGCCACATGTCCCACCAAATTTAACTTTTCCATGAAAAGTCGGGTGTAGTCTCTTACTGACAAATTTCCCTTTTTAAGGGTTCGGAATTCTTCTTCGATGCGATCCATCTCTTGTTCATTGCAATATTCTTCCATTACTTTTTTCTTGAATGTGGTCCAACTCATCTTGGTCAATTCTGTAGTATTGATGGTCGAGATGACAATGTTCCACCAGGTAAGAGCTGCACCCCTCAGCATTTGAGAGCCAAACTTCACTTTTTGCCCCTCATCACAGTCACAAGCCCGGAAGGCTTGCTCGATTTCCCGGAGCCAATTCATGCATGCCACGGGATCGTCCGACCCCACAAATTCCGGTGGCTTGCAACATAGGAAGGTCTTGTAAGAGCAAATTCTACCCATTTGTCTTGCCTCAATCGTTGCTTGCTCCTGGGTTGGAATTCCATTTCCCGTACCTCCGGATCCCACAATAGTCACGTTTTCGGCAACCGCTTCGTGCTTACGGTTATTGACATCTCTATCCTCCAACAACTTCAGAAAGAACTCTTGTTGCTGGGCCATTTCTCTGTTCATAGCGTTCATCATTGATCCCATCATTCTAGATTCTGGGGTTTCTTCTTCCATTACGGGATTAGAGGTGGCAAGATTGACTTGGGAAACGTGGTCAACTCCACAGCCCAAGATGTTTTGTCTAGGATGTACTCTTGCGATCGCGGTCCGTGGCAGTTGATCCACGGTAGATTCGGTCACCGCGTGACCCTCTGGTAAGGTATCCCGTCTACTCCGAGTATTCACCATTTTAGACTGCCATACAAGAGAGTGAAAGAGAGTTATGATAGGACGAACACGGGATTAACATAAAACCTACCAATACGTTCATAAATTCTTGTAATAACAGTAAGTTCAAGCACGCTTGTGTAATAACCTACTCAAAATAGCATTAGCTAAGTGAAATTTTGAATAAGTTATACATAAGAATTCTTAACACCATCGTCACAATTCATGAACGGGGTAACTCCGATGACCCTAGTGTTCTCTTATCTTAAAAGTTCCTACCCACAACTCACAATTAACACTTACAGTCTCAGCTTAAGTCTAGGCGTCAAGAATCCATACCTAGTTCACTTAAACTAGGGCTCTGATACCAACTTATAACACCCTAAAATAAAAAGGATACATTATACCGAAAATAATTAACGAAAAACAAAAATCCTGATATAAAAATCAGCCAACGAAGGTAACATTAAAGCGCTTACAAAACAGCTACTGAGAAGATAAATAACAACCTACTAATCTAGATTGTTTTATATCTAGATTATAGACGGGTGTTTCTATCCAACTCCAAAAATACTTGTTGATCCCAGATCTCTCAATAACAGTTATAATCTAGTTACAAATAACCAAATTATAATGATTTTATGAAGAAAGTTAAGAAGACTCAAAATTAATATATGAATATTAAAGAAYAGTTTGAGCTTCAAAGGTTTTACTTTATTGATAAAGCGTAAAACACAAAGAGGACTTTTTATGTATGCGCACTTTTTACAATAGACCTAGTCATCTATTTATACTAGTTAGCTAATGCTAAGATAACTAACTATTACTACTTTCTAGCAGATATTCTAGCTA